TTTGTTAACAAAACTGCTTAGATATATTCTGAAAAAAAAGTATACAACTCATAATTTACAGCATTGGATCCCACATTTATTATAATCTTGCATTGTAAATCTTCTATGTTATCTTGTTACTGATATTTAAGTTGGTCAGTCTCTCTTATTAAATTTAGAAACATAGAAACAGAGCGAGTCAGAAGGGGCCTCCCAGGCCATCTAGTCTGACCTCCGGCACCAGCCGGCTCGGCTCACGACATGCCCACCATGTGCATGTCCAGCCTATCCTTGAACACCTGCACCGATGGGGCCTCAACGACCTCTCCTGGAAACCCATTCCACACCCTCGAGGTCCTAACTGTCAGGAAGTGCTTCCTGACATCCAAATGGAACCTTGGCTCCCTGAGCTTTGCTCCATTGGAGCGCGTCCTGCCTTCCTCTGCAGGGGAGAACAGGTCTCTACCCATCTCCATGTGACATCCCCTCACATACCTGTATGTCGCCAACATATCCCCTCTGAGTCTCCTCTTCTCCAGGCTGAAGAGACCCAGTTCCCTCAGCCTCGCCTCATACCCCAACCCATGCAAACCGGCCACTAACCTTGTGGCCCTACGCTGCACTGACTCCAACCTGGCTATATCCTTTCTGTAATGAGGGGCCCAAAACTGAGCACAATACTCCAGTTGCGGGCGCACAAGAGTTGTATAGAGTGGTAGTAATACCTCTCTTGATCTAGAAGCCACTCTTCTGGCTATGCAACCTCTTGACCACCCTCTTGACCACTGTGTCACACTGCTGACTCATGTTTAGCCTGCAGTCAACCAGTATCCCGAGGTCCCTTTCACAAGTGCTGCTCTCCAGCCACTTGTCACCTAACCTGTACTTATGACAGCTATTCCTATGCCCCAAGTGCAAGACCTTGCACTTATCCACATTGAACGCCATCCTGTTGTCTCCTGCCCACTTCCATAGTCTGTCCAGATCCTTTTGGATCTGGAGTACCTGCTCCTCAGTTGTGGCCACTGCTCCAATTTTAGTGTTATCTGCGAATTTGATCAGCAGACTGTTCACCCCTTCTTCCATGTCATTAATGAAAAGATTAAACAGGATCGGCCCCAGGACAGAGCCCTGGGGGACCTCACTTGTCACTGGCCGCCATCCTGATGATTCTCCACTAATGGTTACCTTCTGCTTTCGGTCAGTCAGGCATGCCATAATCCACTGGACAGTGCTTTGGTGTATCCCAAAACTCTTCAGTTTCTCCACCAGGATATCATGGGGCACTTTGTCAAAGGCCTTGCTGAAATCCAGGTATACCACATCCACTGCATCCCCTCCATCTAGCCATCTCGAAACCTTGTCATAGAATTCCACAAGGTTTGTCTGGCAGGACCTGTTTTTGTGGAAACCGTGTTGTGGCTGTCAGTCTCCCTTCCCTATCTAGCATCACTAGATCTCTCTCTATTATGAGCCTTTCTACTGTTTTTCCTACAATGGACGTAAGGCTAACAGGTCTATAATTCCCCATGTCCCTTCTACTACCCTTTTTGAAAATTGGGACCACTGATGCCACCCTCCAGTCCTCTGGAACTTCACCCGTTCTCCACGAGGCTTCAAAAATGGAGGCCAGCAGGCATGAGAGAACCCCTACCAACTCTCTAAGTACTCTCGGGTGTAACACATCAGGGCCTGGAGCCTTTGTAATGTCCAATGCCCTGAGGAGCCCCTCGACTTCAAGGGGGGTGGCTCTAATCTATGCCCCTATGTCCCCAGGCTCATCAAATCTCCTATATGGATATCCCCCATCCTGCTTTGGAGAGAACACAGAGGGCAAATAGTCATTTAGCATCTGTGCCTGTTCCCTCATATCAGTCACTGGATGTCCTTCCTCCTTATTTAGTGGTCCCACCACTTGTCTCCCCTTCCTCTTCCTATTTACATGCTGAAAGAAGCCCTTTTTGTCGCTCTTGATATTCTTGGCAAGTCTCAGCTCGTAATCAGCCTTAGCCTTGCAAAGAATATTCTGCAATGGGCCTCCTCCTCCCTTTTGTCTATTTCCCCCAGTACCCATTTCCTACGGAGGTTCCTCTTCCGTCTAATCCCTCTAACCACCTCCTTTCGCATCCATGGCGGTACTCTCCTCCGCCTCCCCACCTTACTGACTAAAGGTATCATCAAGGCTTGCGCCTCCAAAGCCTCCCTTTTGAGTGCTATCCACCCCTCCTCAACTCTCTTACCCTCCAGTAACCTATCCCAGGAGACTTTCTCCAAGTTGGCCCTCTTGAAGTCCCAGCTTCTAGTGCTTGACCTGCTGCACGTCCCCAGTCCCCTGATCTCAAAGCAAAGGATGGAGTGATCACTCGTATCCAGAGCTCCCCTAATCTGTACTTCATCTATCAGCTCCTCCCTATTCGTCAAGACCAAGTCAAGGATGTTCCCCCCGCCCCCCATCACCTCTCGGACCCTCTGTGTGAAAAATCCTCCCTCTATAGCTTCTAGGAAGCGACATGACCTGGCTGTCACCACCAAGTGAGTCTCCCAACTAATATCCAGGAGACTGAAATCTCCCATAATTACTGTGTCTCTCCCCCGAGATATCCTTAGAATCTGGCCTGTCAGGACATCATCCAGGGTCTCAAGTTGAACTGGAGGGCGATAACATACCCCCACTGTCAGGTCTCTTTCCCTGTGAAAACCCCTAAGTTTCACTCAGACTGCCTCTACCGAATCCCCATCTGTGCTGCATTCTGTATCACTGCATCCTATCCCTTCCCTGATGTATAAGGCCATGCCCCCACCCCTCTTTCCCTTCCTGTCCTTTCTAAAAAGGTGATACCCTTCTATGTTCACATTCCAGACTTGCCTTTCATCCCACCAAGTTTCTGTGATTCCCACCAGATCATACCCTCCTATTTCCAGGAGAGTAATAAGCTCTTCCTGCTTATTACCTGCTTATTACCTGCTCTTCCTGCTTATTACCCATGCTCCTAGCATTGGTGTACATGCACCTCAACTCCTTCCCACCGCTTCCTTTCCTTGGAGTTCCCTCCTCCTTCCTCCCAACCTCCCTGATACCTGGCCCCTTTTTGTAGGAGTCCTGTTAGTCCCTGCAGTACCTCTAAAACCCTGCTCCCAGAGCCCTGATCCCCACTCTTGTCCAGTGCAGACATATTTCTGGGGAGCCTGAACCCCACCCCCCGGCTCAGTTTAAAGTCTTCTGGATGAAGCTCGCTAGAGCATTTCCAAAGGACCTTTTCCCCATCCTCGTGAGGTGTAACCCTTCCCTTGCCAGAAGTCCATTGGCTAGAAACCGGGTGCTGTGGTCGTGGAACCCGAAGCGTTCCTTCTGGCACCACACTCTAAGCCAGTTGTTCACCTCGGAGACCCTCCTGTCCCTTTCTGGCCCAAATCCCTGGACAGGTAAGATTGACGAGAAGGCCACTTGGGCTTTCAACTCCCTGAGTTTCTTCCCCAAGGCCTCAAAGTCCCTGGTGGTCCCAACCACACCCTGCCTGGCCACATCGTTTGTGCCCACATGGATCACCAGGAGCGGCTGGTGACCCCCGGAGCGAACAAGATGCTCCACTCTGTCCATCACATGCCGGATGCGTGTGCCCGGCAGGCAGCAAACCTCCCTTGTCTCCAGGCTGGGGAGGCACACCGCCGGCTCAGTGCCCCTCAGCAGGGAGGCCCCAACAACAATCACCTGCCACCGTACTTTTCCAGTGCTGGTGGGTGGCCGTGCCCTGGCCCTCGCCTCTCCTGCAGTGGCCTCCTTGCCGCCTGACATCTCAGGCTGGGGATCCTGCTGGTTCCCCGAGGCCTCATCAGCCCCAGCCCCCCCCAAGTGGGGAGAACCTGTTTCCCAGCTCCAGACTGGTGCCAGGAGAAGGAGGAGGCCGTGCTGGCCTCCTCCTCCTGTGGGTGACATACCTCCATGTCTCCACAGCTGCTCCTCCCGTGGCCTCTCCCTCAACCCTCTGTCCAGAGGGGGGCTGCTCCGGGGGGGGCCTGGAGAGCTCTCTCGGCCCTCAGGCACCTCACCTCCTCTTCTAGCAGGGTCACCATCTTGCACCAAGGGCAAGTGTATCCCTGCCTCTCCTGGGGGAGAAGGGCAAACAGGTCGCAGCTCTCGCAGAAGACAGCAACACCCTTGACTCCTGCCAAGGCCATCTCCTGGTTTGCCATCGGTATCCCTTCCAAGACCTTACCTTGGTCCCCTGTCTTGTTAGCTCTGTAGTTCCTTTCACTCGCCCAGTTATCCCAGATGAAAACCCACTCGCACACACACACAAGGATAGAATAAACTTAAATTTAAATTGGAGGAAAAGCACAGCACAGCACAAGAAGGAGAGGAGAGGAGAGGAAGAAAAAAAAACAAACACCTCTGCGTCCCAGGGAAGGGAGTCCCCGGACAGCTTGGGCCACAGCTAAGGGATACAGCCAAGGGACAACACCCCATCCCTCTGCTTCCTCCTGGCTGCTCTAGCCTGTCTGGCCCCGACCGCTTTCTCTCTGCTGCTCCTGGCCCTCTGCTCCCCTGCCCAGCTCCTACCTTGCCTTCGCCAGTCCCCTGGCCACTCAGCGCTCTCTCCCAGCCTGTGCCTCTGCTGCTCTGCCAAGAGGCCAGAGCCAAAAAGCAAATTTATTGCTTTTTAATGCTATTTTATGATGCATATTATTTTTTTCTTTCTTTATGACCAGTTTTGATTATATTAACTGTTTCCTGCCTGAAATCTGTTGAGGGTCAGTTTACAAGCATGCTAGCAGGAAAAAAAATGTAAATCGTGTTCATGCTTTTTAACAAGGCAGATTATAAATGCTGAGCCAAACAAATTCAGTGCCATCCCCATCATAAATGTTTCCTGAGGCTGCATTGAAATGGGAAGATTTTGAACTTCTTCGAATTTCATTTTGTTTTGGAGCCCCTCTAAAACAGTAAAGGGTTTGTTCTTCCTTTCCTTTTATAAACATTCTGTTTGAACATTTCAGACAGAAGACATTTGGAGCATCCTTACCCTCTTGATGATGCCTCTTGGCAAAAGACATGTCTCCCTCATGTTGTGCATAGAATCGCTGAATGCACCTTCTCACCACATCTTCCCAGCCAGGTTTCATAGCTGCTCGCATAGTACTAGTGTCTAGTGATGTTATCTTGCCTGAGAATATATAAAGCCATTGTTACTAGAGATACCTAAGTTATTTATATATCAAGAGAGAATGGGCAAAGGTTTGGCATGCACTCTTACAGTACCTTGCAGATCCTGACGAGTGCTAAATGTCTCTGAGGCAGGCAGAAGTGGTCTTTCCTTCATTGGAACTCTTCTTGCCACACAAATCAAACAAGACTGTAGATCTTGTAGAGGAGAAAAATAGTTTTAATCAAAGGAAAAGATTTGATAAAACAAGGTTAGACAGGAAAGGATATTTTAAAAATAACAAAAAAGAGATTTTGGTTACCTTCACCATCTTCCTTGATGGACTTTGGTTGAGAAACAGCAAAGCACTGCATAGTTTCATATTTCTGATGTGCTTCCTGGTTATCATGGCCTTCTTCTTCAGAATCAGTTACTGGTTTTACCAACATCCGACAATTAAAAGTATGGCTATTGCGCCTAGGAGCTTCACCAGACCAAGGTCCCCCATTCACTGAGTAAAACAAAGATAATTCACAATGATTAGTTGCTGACCAGAAACTTTGGAAGAACCACATGCTCATTCTTAATAGTGATCCTAATACTGAGGAGTACAACAATGAAAATGAGTCTAAACAAAATTAAATTACAGTCCATGCCAGTATAAGTGAACAGAGCTGTTGTTTTAAAGCTGTTTAGGAATTCCTGATCTGTGTTCTTGCCAAAGCATAAGCTCTCATTTTATACTTCAAAATTGTCAGTGAACGTATTTTTCACATGTCAAGATTTTTTACCCCAAGTTTTCCCTATGGTTCAGGGAAGTTTTGTTTTCCCTATGGTTCAGGGAAGTTATGGTTCAAGTTTTCCCTTCAGGTTGATTAAAATTATTCCTAGCTACAATTATCTTCAAATTAAGATTATTAAGTAACTAAGAGATCAAGGCTGTGAAAAATACTGGATGGGGCGGGGAGAAAGAAATGAAGCATCATGTCTATCATACATGAACAAGTTATGCAAATATTATGTGCCAATGACCGAGGAGAGCTGGCAATAGAAGACAAGGCCAAACTCTTCTACTTCTACTGTAGTTTAAACCAATACAAGGAAGAAAGGAGTTAATATTATTTATTTATTTAGAGTATTTGTATGCTGTCCCATCGCATAGCCTCGGGATGGCTTACATAAAATAAAATAAAATAAAATAAAATAAAATAAAACAAAACAAAACATAATACAGATAAAATTCAGATCCACGCTGGCTGCAGATTAAAACCTATAAGCTGATGTTAAAAGTTATTAAAATATTGTTGAAATAAAAAGGTCTTAGCCTGGTGCCAAAAAAAACCAAATAATATAAATATTATTATTTATAAATAATAATAAACAAATATTAATAATGTAAATACCAGCTCTATGGAGACTTCTATATGGGCAAAGCCAAATCTATAGCTATTGCTAAAGAACTCAGAACAGTGTTCTCTGCTAGAAAGCAAAAGCAGGTTGCTTACCTGTAACTGATGTTGTTCAAGTGGCCATCTGTGCACCACACATATGGGTGCTGCGCCTGCGCAGTGCCTAAGGCTGGAAAGATTAGAGAGCTAACGGTTTTTGATGGGAAAACTCCGCCCCCCTCCCCCTCAGTACTATATATAGAGCGGAGTGTCCGCCATTTTCTCCAGTCTTTGAAAGACCGATTGTTTGCCCCCTTTCGAGAGAGAAAAATATTCTAATAGTTCATTATATACCATGACTATTAAGGCATAGTATCGACAGACGAATCCACTCACCGACACTGAGTGGGGCCGGTGGGTGGGTTGTGTGAATGCACAGATGGCCACTCGAAGAACATCAGTTACAGGTAAGCAACCTGCTTTTCTTCATTGTGGTTTCTGTGCATCACACATATGGGTGACCAGCAAGCTTACCAGACTAGGAGGAGGGAGGTGTCATCAGTGAAGAATAGCTGAAGGACTACTCTTCCAAAAGAGCAATCCTGTCTGGCACGCACGTCAAGGCAATAATGCTTGGCGAAGGTACACGGAGCAGCCCAGGTTGCAGCTCTGCAGATATCTTGAATTGGAATTCCTGCGGCGAAGGCAAATGATGCCGCTACTGCTCATGTGGAATGACCCCTCGGAGAGACAGGTAAGTCCATCTTTGCTAGTTGATATGCCAACACGATAGTTTGAGCAATCCATTTCGACAGCCTTTGAGACGTGACTGGAGAGCCCCTGTCTTGTTCAGAATATTTCACGAAGAGTCGATTAGAACGTCTGAAAGACTCTGTACGTGATCTGTAGAACGCCAAGCAACGCTGAACATAGAGAGTATGTAGGGATATTTCAGTCGGGTTCGATGGTGTGGAAAGAAAGCAGATAAGATGATCTCTTGATTCATATGGAATGGAGTGGCAACTTTAGGTAAAAACGTTGAATCCATCCGAAGAATGACTTTCCTTATGGATATTCAAATACGGTGGATCTACTCGAAGAGCACAAAGTTCACTAGCTCTTTGAGCTGACGTAACAGCTATGAGAAAGGCAGTCTTCTAAGATACTAGCCGTAAGTCAATAGTCGCCAGAGGTTCAAAGGGAGGTCTAGTAAGTGCCTGCAGTACAACTGAAAGGCTCCACGTCAGCATAACAGGGCAAATTGAAGGATGAAGGTTTTGCAGTCCCTTGAGGAATTGTCTAACCATCGGTTGCAAGAAAAGAGATGAGCCCTGTATCGCACCATGATAATGCAAAATCACGGCCATGTAAACCTTTATGGATGAAGGTTTAAGTCCCGAACGATGCAACTCCAAAAGAAATTGTAACATGTTCTCGATAGAAGCCAGTCCAGGAACAAACAAGAGGCATTCAGCAAAAGATGAGAATCGACGCCACTTTGCCACATAGGATCTCTGTGTTGACAGTCTTAGAGCAGATTCAAGAATTCTTTGAATATCTGGATAGAGAACAGTCGATCCCGAAGTAAATCCCATTGGGTCTGAGGAAGCAAGCAACTGCAGGGCTCCGAAAGTGGAAATTTCTGATGCTTGAGATGTTGTCGGTACCGAGTCAGTATCGAGAGTCAGCGGATTCACCAAGCTGTGAGGTTCAGAGAAGTTAAATCCGGATGATGAACCACTCCGTCTTGTTGAGTCAGTAGATGTGGTATTGATGGGAGACGAAGAAATATGCCATCTGACAGCTGCAGAAGAGTGGAGAACCATGGCTGGTGAGGCCACCATGGAGTTTTCAGGATTCCTTGTCTTGGGCTATCTTTGAGACAACTCTCGTCAAGAGCGGAATTGGAGGAAAGGCGTAAAAGTTCGTGTTGTCCCACGGGATCATGAGAGCATCTCCTGCTGACCCCAGTCCGATGCCTGCCCTGGAGCAAAACAGTTCGCATACCCTGTTCACATGGGTAGCAAACAAGTCCATGTCCAGATTTCCCCAAAGATGGAAGAGCTGATCACAAATGTGTCAGTCCAACTCCCACTTGTGAGTTGTCGACATCTGTCTGCTCAACATATCGGCTTCTTCGTTGTCGGTACCCACTAGGTGAACCGCCAACAGGGTTATGTCCCTCGGGATACACCAATCCCAAATCTCCATTGACAGGCGGGCCAGGGCAGCTGACTTTGTCCCGCCCTGTTTGTTGATATAGAACACGGCAGCTATGCTGTCCGAAGCAATCTGGACTACTTGTCGTTGAAGAGTATTCTCAAATGATCGCAGAGCGTTGAAGATCACTAAGAGTTCGAAAAAATTGATGTGTCTCATTGGTTCCTGTCAGTTCCAAGTTCCCTGGGTGCGAAGTCCTGCACATACTACACCCCAACCGATCAACAATGTATCAGTGTAGAGGGTTACGGTTGGCTGAGGCGGCCAGAATGGGACACCTACAAATTGTCTGGTATAGTCCACCATGTCAGGGAACGCAGAACGGGCAGCGGAAGCTGGATTAGCTTGTTGGGTGAATCCTGCTGTGGATGAAACGATTTGTTGAAGAACAGTTGAAGAGGACGAAGTTGAAGTCTGGCGTATGGAATGATGGCAACTGAAGCGGCCATGTGGCCCAGTAGTTTCTGAATGGAAAGAGCCGGTACCATCCTGTCTTGTCGAATCCGATGAACACATGCACAGAGGCTGTCTTGACGGGTTGGAGGAAGAAATGCCCTCACTAGGGTAGAAACGAGATGAGCTCCAATGAAGTCGATCACCTGCGCGGGAACAAGGGATGATTTTTCATGATTAAGACAAAGTCCAAGATTGTCCAATAGAGTACAAGTTGTATGGACCGCTGAGAGGAGGATATTCTTAGTCTGGGAAATAAGCCAGTCGTCCAGATAAGGATATACTTGGATACCCTGAAGCTGCAGATATGCACACACCGGAGGCATGCATTTTGTGAAGACAGGCGGAGCAGTGGTCAGTCCGCATGGGAGGACATTGAATTCAAATATGTCGGATCCGACAGTAAAACGTAAAAGGCGTCTGTGACAAGGATGAATTGAGATGTGAAAGTAAGCATACTTTAAGTCCAGTGAGGCGAACCAATCCTCTCTCCTCAGCAATGGAAGGATAGTTTGAAGAGTGGTCATCCAAAATTCCTTAGGTTTGATAAACCTATTAATGTTTCATAAGTCCAGGATAGGACGGAGACCACCATCCCACTTAGGGACCGTAAATATCTCGAATAGAATCCATGGAGTCCCTCAGAACGAGAGAGCTGACGGATCGCTCCTTTACAAAGGAGCTGACGAACTTCGTCTTGTAACGCTGGCGAGCATGGTATAAATCGAATTGGGCTCGACAGGGGAACGATGCCGAATTCTATTCTGTATCCGAGCTGAATGATGGATAAAACCCACCAATCAGATGTGATGGACTCCCAAATGGGGAGTCAGCTTTGTAGCCAATCCCCAAATGGGACAGGGAAAGGTGGGAATTGGAGAGATGGAGAGGTTCACCGGGCCTATCAGCGCTGGCACTTATCATTGTCAAAACCCTGTGAGAAGGCCCTGTGAAAAGCGTGGCTGCTGCTTTCTGTGCTGCTGGTACTGTTGTCATGGTTGGAATTGCTGGCGGTACAATGGATGGGACCAAGACCACTTACATCTTTGTTGCGTTGGGATCTCCATACGACAAGCTGTCATTTGCGACTTGTGAATGGCCTTGAGCTTGTGGTCCATCCTGATGTGGAAGAGTCCCATTCCATCGAATGGCATCTCCTCGATTCTATGCTTCATCTCCTCCGGGAAATTGCAGCTCCTCAGCCAAGCGTGCCGACGGAGGGAGATGGCACCAACCAGGGCCCTGGAGTTGGTGTCTACATGATGCTGTGCAGTTGAAAGTTGTTGTATGGCCACTTCCATTGCTTCCTTTATGAATACTTTGGCCAAGTCCGCTTGGTGGTCAGGCAGAGAAGAGGCGATGTTCTCAAGCTTCTGCATGATAAAGAATTGATATCGTGCAAGCGGCGCCTTGTAGTTCAATATGCGGAGGCCGAGTCCAGAGGCCTCATAGACCCGGTGAGCTAGCATATCGATCTTTCTGCCCTCCTTATCATGAGGAGCTGTGTAGCCCCTCAATTCCCTGCCCTGGGACGACTTGACCACCACCAAGTTTGGTTTTGGATGATGCAGGAGGAATGGAATATCCTCTTCCCGAACCCGGTACATTGCCTCATAGCGACAAGACGTGGCCTGTGGCTGAGTTGGTAGATCCCAGGGCTGAACCATTACTTGGCGAAGCATGGTTATAAGGGGTAATACGATGGCTGCTGATTGCTCACCCCTGATGATGTCGTAGAACTTATCGGTGCTGGGATCGGGCTGATGTTGTGCCTCAATCTCCAGCGACCGAACAAGTCTAGACATGAGTTCCCCGAAAGTAATATGGGGCTCATCTGGGGACCCTGGGCCCTGAGAAGTAATGGCCACATCAGGAGAGGTAGAGTCTACCTCCGACTCATCCGAGTCGCCCTTGTAGTGGTAGTGCCCGCTGGATGATGAATTCCCCGGGGAAGTATGGTGTCTCCGTTCCCCAAGGCCGGACGTGGACGGTGCCTCCCTTGGGACCAATGGCGATGGACGGTCCCAAGCTGATGGGTAATATCCAAAGGAGTGGTATTCTCCCCAGCCCGTGAAGCCTCCGTGGCTGGGTTGGTCCTATTCTTTGGCATGCCTGTCAGAGGAACAGCTCTGGTGCCGTGGTGGCAAAAAGGACTCTGCAGCTGGTCCAGATGGAGGCATCAGAGTTGGTGAGTGGGCTTTCAGTGGGGAGTCACAGATTTCGCCATCTGAGATAGACTCGCACATCGGCGCCTCAGATCATCGAGGGGATGCACTCTCAGCCCGAACGACCCGTCTGGGGGATCCCGGCGGAGTGACCTGCAGGGTCGATTGCAGGGCCGGTCCCGATGGGGTCAGTACCATAGCAGCCACTGCTACCGAGAGCCCAGATGAACCCGAACCACGATGTTTAGAGTGGTCGGGCTTCTTCCCCTTGTGGGCCGGCTTGTCCCCCTTGTCCTTCTTCGCCTTCTTATGGCTGGAGGACTTATCAGAGGCGCTGTGCTTTCTCTTCTCCTGTTGCTTAGTAGGGGAAGCAAGCTGTTGGGCCCCATTGATGAAGTGCCTTTGTCCAAAGGACGCGGCGGAGGTGCTGCAGAGGCCGAGGCAGGGTGCTGAGAAGGCGCGGCCGAGACAAAGGCAGAGCGCTGTGGGGGTGCAGTCGAGGCAGAGCCAGGCTTTGAGACCAACTGGTCTGAATGCATCAGGGCTTGGTCCCAGAGCAGTTTATGGAGATGATTCTCCCGGTTCTTCCTGGCCTGCTTGGTGAAGGCCAAGCAGTGGCCACACTTGTCCATTCTGTGCCCCTCGCCAAGGCAGAGGAGGAACAGATCGTGCGGGTCCACGGGGGACATCTTGGAACCGCACTCCGCACATTTGCGAAAGGCCATTCGCTGCACCATCGCGAAAGAGAAAAAAGTAAATAGTGCAGAGGGGATCATCTTTTTGGTTTTGTTTTGTTTTGTTTTAAGAGTGAACAAGAGAGAGAGATAGCTTCGTAACAAGGGTAAAGAACTTGGAAATACAAGAGAACAATCAACAAAGTTAACTAGGCAAGGAGAGTAGTCAATGCAAGAGTGAAGAGGCACGAGGCAAAGCAAACGGCGGTTGCAAAACACTGGAGAAAATGGCGGACACTCCACTCTATATATAGTACTGAGGGGGAGGGGAGCGGAGTTTTCCTGCCAAAAATCATTAGTTTTCTAATCTTTCCGGCCTTAGGCACTGCGCAGACGCAGTACCCCATATGTGTGATGCACAGAGGCCACGACGAAGAACTTAATTGTAGCTGCTGCTATTACATAAGTTTCTCCCTTTGAACTCAGACTTGCCTTATCTTCTCCAGAGTTGGGGAACATTTTTCAACCCAAGAGTCATTTTGGAGAAGCCCATGGAAAAAGGGAGTGCTTGCTCCCCTGCTTCTACCCCTTCTGCCCCACAGAGAAAAGCTCTTACCTCTGATCAGCAGCTGCTGAGAAACAGGGCAGCAACATTAGAATAAAGCTACAGCTTCCCCCAAAGTCCTTCCTTCTAGCATTTATTACAATGCTTTTATTCTACACTTTCTATTCTAAAGATTGTTCAAAACTGCTCATGGCAATATCAATAAAACTATTCATTTAAATGTTCTGAAACATCAGTGAGTATCATTAATAAAATATAAGCAACACTGTATTAGGGAGCAGAAACATCTCTAAGTATCCAAGCCAAAGACCAGGAAAATAACATTGCTGGCTGCCAGTAGGGGACCATCAAAGGGCAATCTAGGCTTCTCATGATAAAGAGTTACAGAGGCTGGGTACATCAAGCCCCTACTTGTGTAGCCACCAACCACATGTCTGTCAGTGTTGAAACATGACAAGACTGAGTGCTAAATATTTGAGTGGGTTTATAGTAGCACGTGGAAAAAATCAATTATGGTCCTCTACCAGGGGATATTTAAGACAACCAGTGGTTAAGGACTGTCCCCTTCTCTAGAGCTTTGGACACACCCAGAGGTTGCCCAATACCACCAAGAAACACACTCACTGAGAAAGCAGGCATAACACTGTTCTTTTAATAGCGTCAAAGAAAAAAAGTGGAGCAGGAAAATCCACATCAACTTTTAGAGACAAAGGAAGTTATATTTCCAACAAACTGGCAATCTTCTATAATAAAAGCAGTTCTTCCATCCTTTATAATCCTCATAACACAGTTCATGAGAATACAAACTGGTGAGCTTATGGCAATGTTAACCCTACAGCTGTCACTGATTATATGAAGTTATTCATAAGGTCCAAGAAAAAAGCAGAGAATTAGAAACTCATCTGAAAAGCTGATTTAGAGACAAGAACAGAAGAAGAAAACATTATGAGATTGTGCGGCATTAACATGAAGCAATTAAAGCACAAACATGAAACAAAACAAAAAATGACCAACAATGGATGTGTTTTGAAGCACCATACCTATAGATTTTGGCAGCAGGTTTTTGACAAATTCACTGTGGTCCCCTACATGAAGGATGCTATACACACTTGTGTTCATCAGCTCTTCTTGGTTGTACCTTAAGTACTGTGTCACATTCTCTGACACAAACACCACATTACCTTCCAAATTCACTACGAAGAAAAACCCATCGAGGGCCTGAAAGATTAGGGAAAAAATGTTTAGTTCACTGTTGAGAATCTAGATCAAGATAAAAACAGCTATGCTATTATCATCCTCTCTTAAAGTCCCTTAATCCTGAATCTCTGCAGAGAAAGAAAAATAGGCTTTCTTACTACGCTAAGCCTTCAAGTAGCCTTTTTTAGTTTCTTCCTTGACTGAGTGTGAGAATAACGCAGTTTTAAAAATATTTTTAAAAAATCAATATGAAATTTTTGTACAGAAAAATGTTTGTACAGTAGTGCTGCTTAGCAACAGCTGCAATATTGGTGCAAGAATGATGGAGTAAAAATGCCTTAGAATAACGCAGAACTTTTCTGCTGAATATTTATACTGTAAAGAAGATTACAACCCCATGGGCTGAATTCCAAATATATCCAACATATATGAATTTTACTTGCAAGAACTACATCAAGAGGCTAAGAATAAAGTGAAGTTATCTGACGCTGCTGGTCTACCTATATTTTTGAGCAGCCTCTAGCACTAAGCCAACAGTGCAATCTGGCAAGGTACATTTCCCTGGGAATAGCATAGTTTATCCTATTGGCGTGGTGCTTGAGATTTCTTGTGCATCGAAAGCATAAGTGGACCAGCAGAACTGGATACTGCCCTAATACTCAGAGGTAAAAGTCAAAATAATTAAGAGAAAGGAATGAATATGCAATCAGAGCTGCTTCAAGGGACAAATAAGTGGTGTGCCAGTGGCACTGCAGCATGTGCTGAAGAGGGAACCCACAGATGAGGAACTAGACTGGGCGGCACTGCCATGCTGAAGGACAGATGGATCTGGGAAAGGTACAGCTTCCTACTTCCCACTCATCTGTCCCCACAATTTGGCCTGCTCATTTCTCTTGGGCTGAGCTGAACCTGTGAGATTCCTTCTGCACCTGCAGAGAGGTGGTTCCTCTCCTTGCTGACTAGCAAAGGAAAGCTTCCTTTCCTTGGGCAAAGGTCAGACCCAAATTGTGTTTGCCCAGTGCTTCAAAAGCTCTTGAAACGTATTTTCAAGGAAGTAGAAAACCCATAATTTTTTAACAACAGCAGGTCCTTTCTAATACCATTTGACCAAGATATGTATTGAATCAATAACAAGCTATATCTGAAAGCACGTTCAGTATAACACATACAGGCTGCAATCCTATATATACTTACCTAAGTAGAAGCCCCATTCTACTCAATGGCATCAACTTCTTAGTAGATTAAGAAGTTCTTTTCCCTTCTAGGCTACAGTGCTCTGACACTGATTCACAGAGATTTTATTACTCTGTCTATGACCGGACTAAATGAAAACGAACAGAACATGCATGCAACATTTTTTTCTTTACCTTTCAGAGACATTACAATGTTACAGAATACTCAGAATTCACAAGAGCACATTCTGTGAACAATTCTTAGTTGATCATCTCGTATCTGACAAAGTGGATTCTACTGCACTAAGTTTTTGTCATAATAAATGTGCTAGTCTTTAAGGTGCCACAAGGGTCTTTATTGTTTTGCTGAAACAGAGTTACCCCTCTGGAAATTAAAACATTCAAATGTGCATAGTTTTAGTTCAGCAGATTTTTTTTAGAAAGGTGCAAATAATTCTAAAAACAGAAAACTTTATACACCTCACCTCAAGCATCATTGGTCCAAGTGCATCCTTGTCAATGACACTCTGACCAGTAGATGACACATCAGCTTTCTGCACTTCATCTTCATTGGCGGCAGCTGCTTTTTCTGTACAGAAAAAAGGGAGGGGAAACACAACATGCATTATGAACTAAAGAGCTGTTTAAGAAGATTATGCTTAAAACTAATTATAGCAAAGAGGCATTGCAAGCTGGAGACAGTCTCACTGTCAGACCCATTCAGATACAGCAACATTAATTCCATCCAGCACTTCAGGATATGCAACAGAGGATATGAAACAGACCTTCTCATATGCCTGCCTTAGGGAGTAGGTAGGTTGGCAGACAAAGAAGGTCTTTCCTGCAATGGTCTTACATATGTGCAACATACCAGCTAGAGTTTAATTGGTTCCTTTATTATAGGCCTTTAGAAAAACATTAAAGATCCATTTTTTGTGTGGTTATCTCATGAGATAGGTTTCTAGCATCAGTTATTGGCTCTGTGTATATTCTGGATCAGATCAAAAGCAGAAATGAAACAGGAGCCAATGAAGTTGTTCTGAATTGTTATCATACTTTTCCTTATGGCATATTCTAGTCAACATCTTGGCTCCCTGAACCAGTTTTGAGAACTCTGCAAAGTCAGTCCACATGGAGCATGTATTCAGCACAAATTAATGTAACTAAAAGAGCAGTCTCCTTTCGTGTACTGATGAAGCCACTACTGCCATGTGTCATATAGGCATCTGAAAGTGCACCCAGAATGCAGAATCATGCATCCAAACCAAACTGTATAAGTATGTCAGGTTCAGGTGAATTTCCAACTATCGTACTGAATATTTGCCATGAACACGGATACAATCAAAATCAGGAGGTGCATTTTGAAAGTGCATCCAAAACATCACTGCAGCAGTAGTGCACACCTGATAGTGGAGAGACTGTGGAATCTGTCTCATCTCACTGTTGAATGGATGGTGAGAGACAGAACATGGGCTCAAAAGCTTAGTTCCACAGAACACAAAATAAACAGGTTCATTACTTATAGAAATCCCAGGTACAGTTGAAGTTAAAAATGTTAAAATTACGGTTCTGGTTTAACAAAGTGACCAAGATATAGCAGTAAATCCTACAACACCGTGTTATACTGCAATTCCACAAAGCTTTGTTTCTGCTCTTTTTATAAAACCTAAATAAAGAAGTTTAAAAATAAGTTATTTCTATGAAAAAAGAACTACTGCTGCTTAAAAATAAATGTGAGATCGAAATGCCATTTTAAGAATAACTAACAAATCCCAGCTTATTAAGACTGTCTTACTTGCATCAACATCTTACACTTCCTATATCTGTGGACAACCAAAAGTCCCACACTGATAATTACTGAATAAAATACTTAATTTAAATCAAACATGTATAACGGGTGCTGGTGATGAAAGGCAAAGTATTCATTATGAAACTAAAGCTATGGAACATACGAGCTATGGCCCTTAGAGTATTCCATCAAATTTGAATGATTACGCCTCTGTGATAAAGTTCAGAATAAACACAATTCTGTTATTATACTGCAAAATAAACCAACCCGTTTCCACATTTCATGGTTTGTTAAGTTTACAGCATGCATAAAGAAAATTTTGACCTGCCAAAGAGGATGGCAGAAAACGTATTCTCAGTTTTCCCAACTTCTACTCTACACTGATGAAAAGAGAAATGTTGGTGTGGAAAGTGGCAACATGATTCCAGAATCAGCCACAACTGAGGGCTTGGTCTATTTGGACTTGACATAAACTCTAGACTACTGTAACTGAGCAGTACCCTGCCTTCCATCCCTTGTCATGTAAGCTAGACTGACATTTGGTTTCTTTTATTTCTTCTTCATATGAATAGCTTTTTAAAATTCTCCCAAATTTGTGGTTAAACTGACAGTATCATCATAAAACTAAAACGGGAAAACAATGCAATTAAAACTACTTGCAGGAATATTAAAATAAATTAAAGTACATAGATTTTTTACAGCATTGCTTTTGCACCGCACACACACATTTTAAGTTTCTAAACAAGGACAATCATGGAAAATTGGTGAACTTTTTTCTGGTTGCAGGAGAAATAAAAGCAGTTTTAGCTAACCTATAAGCAGTCAGGAGTGCTAAGTAGCAGATATTGAATAAATTAATCTTTAAAAAAGTGGAATGCATTTCCATTCAGGTCAAACTCATATATACTGGAAAGTATATAGAAAGATGTTGCAGTAGTATTTCTCAAAGTATTATTAGAAAGCATAATGCCAGTGAGCAAGAGGGAAACTTTTGGAAAGTTTAGTCCATATGCAAGGACTTCATGAAATGAAATCTAGTCTACTAAACTAATTTTATTTATTTATTTATTAAAACATTTTTATGCCGCCCCATTTGCCAAAGCCTCGGGGCGGCTCACATCAATAAATGACATGATAAATATTTTAGTTTTTACAAGATGCCACAAGAGGCTGTTTTTGCTGCAACAAACTAGCATACCTTGTGAGAACATTCAAGTTGTGAAGACCTTGCAACCTTGCTGCTGTTGTCTAAAAATTGTTACCTCCCATTTGCCTCTGGTTAATTCAGAAGCTCCAACACTCACAGAAGTATCTTGCCAATTAGCAGATTGTAGTCGAATAAGAGGTAAAGGTTTCTCCTTGACATTAAGTCCAGTCATGCCTGACTCTAGGGGGTGGTGCTCATCTCTGTTTCCTAGCTGAGGGAGCCAGCATTTGTCCTCAGACAGTCTCTGTGGTCATGTGACAGGCATGACTAAACACCGAAGTGCATGGAACGCTGTTACCTGCCCACCGAAGTGGTACCTTTTTATCTACTTGCATGTGCATGCTTTCGAACTGCAAGGTTGGCAGGAGCTGGAATGGAGCAACGGGAACTCACCCCGTTGTGCAGATTCGAACCGGTGACCTTTTGATCAAGCAGCCCAGCAGCACAGAGGTTTAAACCACTGTGCCACCTGCAGTCCCTGTTGTTGTTGAATAGCAACACAAGGCTGGTAATGTGTGCATTAAATAAAAGACTAGGCATAAAGTCTTATTATTGTATGTACTCCTGTTGACTATTGTTTCTGTTCTTGTGTGTGCCAGTTAACTTCTTCCAGCCTGGGTAGAAGAAGGTGGCAACTGCTACACTGAAATTGCTGCCCATGGGAAAACTGGTTAATCTGTTCTCATTTGTATGGGTACTAACAGCAGTATCTAGATCTGTGAAGTCCTACAGACAATAGGAGGTTATGCAAGACAACATATTACTGAGATGAAGATGCACCAGATGTTCAACTACTGTAATAAAAGTGTTTAAAAGTTATTCCCACTGTTTGTTAGATTTAACAAGTTTTTTAAGCTCACATGAGCCTCCGATGGCCATGTGCTGGGCCCAACTGAACAGTCATCCTTCCCACGTAACAGAGCTATGAAGTTTGAATTATTTAGGATAACTGCATATGGCCCACATTCAAACCAGGTCTGTTGCACTATGGGAAGTATGAGTTAAAAAAAGAAAGGCATTCCCACTGAAATCAATTACTTACACTCAAGTAAGTGAGCCAATTCCACATGGCAGTATTTCAATCAGCAGGGAAGCATCAGTCACTCTCACAGGGTTTCCCCCATTTTTCAGAAGCATACTGACTATTAGCTAGCTACTGCTGCAGTGTTAAAAGCTTAGCAGGAGAGCTATGCCATCACCAGCCATGTTTACCTTACAGAAAGGGGAAAGCAAAAAGAGGAGCTCCAGCTACGTTTTGCACATACCTTTGCAGATGAAGGTGCCACAAGATCAACAGGCACCTTCGCTGTTCAAAACTAAGAGATGAAGTGCAGATCACCACAGAAAGGTTTTAGGAGGCGAACTAGGAAGCAATATGCATCTGCACTGAACTAAACTTAGCAGTCTGCCATATGGTCGTGTGAGGCCAGCAGCACATTCTTATTCATTAGGAAGCATTCTGCCAGTATAAAAGCACAAGGCCCATCCTGCGCTCGCCAAATCTGTTTATCTTTTCAACATTAATGCACAATATATCATCAGCTTGCTGAAATCTCCTGCTGTGTGTATTTGAAAAGCGCAGCTGCACTATTCCTAGCTTGTTTACTCACTGAGACTGAATATTTGCTTTACTACCTTCCTATCACATGGTCCATTGTCAGCAAATAAAAGCTCCCCATAATCTGGGAGGAACCAGTCTCAACTACCAACAACGCTAGCTGTTCCTTCCTTTTTATATCCATCTGAAGGCCAAGAACAGAAAGCCTATTTGGTTTCACTTTTAGCACTGTTCATGCTCACTTGTGTAAATTAGTTTAGTGAAACAACAGGTGAACCTAAAAGATGTACAAAGAGCTGAAAATGGAATCATTCAACCCAAAACTGTGATTCTGTTCTTGCAAACACTACTGTACTACTAGCAGTACTATTGTGCTGCCAAATGTCTTACATGTTGTTGTGATATTAACAATCATTGTGTTCTCCCTTGAGACAGCAGAAGGTAATTTTTCAATCCTATGCAGTGCAGTAGGCCTTCACAATTTGAAGGAAATTGGGAAATAACATAGAAAGAATGTAAGAACATAGAAAAAGCCATGTTGGATCAGACCAAACGTCCATCTAGTCTAGCACTTTGCACACATGGTGTCCAATCAACTGCCCATAGGCTTGCTCAAGCAGGATGGGTGCAAGACCTCTGCCTGCCCAAGTTCCTCAGCAACTTGTGTATGCAGGCATGGCACCTCTTGTAAAGAAGGCAGTACATTATCAGTAAGACTAATTCCACTAATAGTCTCTTCTTCCATACATCTGTTCAATTTCCTTTTAAAACCATCCATATTGCTGGCCCCCACCAGTTCCTGTAGTCACAAATCCCATAGTTCAATTATATGTTGTATGAAGAAGTACCTCCTCTTGTCTGTACTAAATCTTCTACAAATCAGGTTCATGGGATGACCCTGGGTTTGAAAATGATGAGAGAGGAGGAAAAGTCTCCTTCTCCATTTTCTCCACTCATTGCATGATTTGTAACACCTCTATCATGTCTCTCCTTACCTGCCTTATTCCTAGGCTGAACATTTCCACTTGTTGTATC